ACAGACAGACAGACAGACAGACAGACAGACAGACAGACAGACAGACAGACAGACAGACAGACAGACAGACAGACAGACAGACAGACAGACAGACTATCTAATTAACATATTTAAAGTTTGGGTAATCATTTGCGTATTTCAAAATTATATGCTAATATGACCCAGTGCATCAAAATAGAAATATTCAAAAAGAAGCCACAACAACCTGTTTTCTTCGTGTTACAAGTAGGCAACAACAACATTCAGATAACACACGAGTCAATATTACAAGCGAGGTTGCCATCCTAGGGTTAGGGTATTACAATATATTCCTGTTGAGCCACGAACGTTTTGGGCTGTTTAAAACCTAGTCTTATTACAATAAATAGCTGGGTTTCAGTCACTGTTATGTTATGTATGAACAAGTAAAAGCTTTTTTATTTCATAAATCCAGACGATAACAATACGTTCTATACTGTTTTTTACGAATATCAAGTCCTAACATAAACATTGTGGCTCGGGGTGTCCGTGTTCATTTTAAGGGACAATTATGTACCAGGCTCCTGAGTACACCCCGTAACATCTCCCTCCTTCAGAGTTCAACATAACGTGTTTTTAATTAATTAAACTTGCATTAGGATTCAATCACATAGTCCTCGAGATATGCTGGTCTACGTGTTTGTCTATTGGATGTTCGTCTTGTACCATTGGGAGCTGCATGCTCTTCAGGTTCATGAGCAACCGGTTCCTCGCATTCTGGCAGCTGCTGTCGGTCTGGTACATCATGTTCTTGCATTGGTAATTGTATGTCTGCGTCTAACTCGTCTCGTTCCACAATTTTCCGAAGATGCCTGCGATTTCTTCTATAGTGTGATAGCGATTTCTTCTAACGCATTGTGTTGTGTTAGAAATAAACTAAGTTGTGTGGATATCCAAACATATATATTTGGGTATATAAGGGCAGGAGCAAGGTTAAGACGAGAAGAAGATAAAGAAACGATTAAAGGATTACGTTACTATAGATTAAGTGCAAGAAACCGCTAAATTTACATTGTTTGTCATATATTCGAATAAACTCGAGAAGTGATCAATATTGGTGATTTGATCCAAATATGTTGGGAAATAAATTGAGTTGAACAAGTTGATTAGCCTGTATTTTACAATTCTAATTACTTTTAGTATTCAAGGAAGCTGCTTACGAGAAGGGAAGTATTTCAAGTTTTCAATACCCTAAACCTTACCCTGGAAACCTTCAATGCACTTGGATAATCAAGTCTTTGTCTGGATCTGTTATAAAATTCACCACAGAAAATTTGGACTTCCCCACATGTAATGGCGCCACTTGCGATTATCTGGAGGTGTACGATGGTGCTTCTAAAAATCATCCGAAACTTGCGAGATTCAAAAGCGGTCAAGAAATTGATTTGGTTTCTAGTCATGATAGACTGTTGATTGTTTTCAAATCCCAAGTCCTAGGGAAAAGTTGAGGATTAAGCGGTTTCCAGGCGCAGTATTACTCCATAAAGAAAGCCGAAGGTAGGCACTATACTTCACTTTTATGAATATGATGTCGACGGAGTGGCCGGTGTTCAGACTGTATAATGTTGTAATACAGTGGGTGAAAAGCACTGAGCTATAATCTATCTTGAGGAATTAAGTGCTCGGCATCAAAAGGTAAAGCCAAAAACATGGCGGATTTTCACGTTTGCTGACGGCAGAATGACGTCACTGGTCCTAAATCCTCGTGGTAACTACCACTGACCAATCGCGATCCTCTGCTTTTTACGACAATTTCACACCCTCTGGTTTCTGAAAAAACCTGAAACTTTGCAGAAAGTTTATATAAAAAAATCAAGAAAAAATGCCGAGTTTCTCCATGGCTTCATGATGCCACAATTCTTTATCATCTTTATTATCATTATTATGAAGAAGAAAGACTTCTTTTTACCGGTAAGATGTATATTAAACCCTTTCTGTGCTTCATTCTTACTAAAAAATTGGACACGAAATTTACAAAATTAATATATTAACGACGCTGTATAGCAGCTGGTATTTTTCTGCCTTTATCACTTTTCTTTATGTTTTATTTTGCCATTTGGGCAGGTTCAGGTGGTGATCGCACTACGACCGCAATGCATTATTTTTGATATTTTCTTCAAGATGGCGGATTTCGAGCACGATGAAAGGTATGTTGGCGCTCTATTTTCTGCCACGTTTTAAAGTTTAAACTTTTTGTTTTTTCTTAAAAAGGAAGTTGCATGTAATATTGTTATGCTGTGTTACTTTTCAAATCGATAATTTTTGGAATTCGATAAAAAATATCATTTGATTGTAAGCTCGTGTATTTTCCCCAAATACACTGGTCTGTTTACTTTTTCATGTCACAGGTTAACTTTTCACACATCACATTTAAAATTGCAATTGGCATAATCTATGATCATTATTTGTGACCATATTAAATGGCGCCCCTTGGCGCCCCTCAATATTGTATCTTTTTTGGGCTTTTAAATCATGATATTTCCTTTGCTAATTTCAGGTCTTCTTGTCCGGAGTTCATGTTCTCCCGCTATTTTGGGGAAGCGTTCGTGCATCCCAGAGGGGAATACGCCAGGCAAACAAAAAACAAAGCGGCAAAGAAATTATAAACGCAAAAGAGAAGCAAAAAAACATTTTCAAATGGAAAAAATAATGTGTGTCAAAATGAGCAAGACCAATGGCAGACTGTTGGACAACCGAAGAGGCGAAGAACAGACTTTAATAATGGGACTGTTTCATATTTGACAGGATCAATGACTGTCTGGTGGTGAAAAACCATTTGCGCTTGTTGGAACTGTTTCTTGTATTATAGTCAGTTGGAGCAACTGGCAATGACTCAGTAAACTTTTCCTTGGTTAATTTTAGATGTGTTAAAATTTTTGCCATTTCCACCAAGTTACCCATACCATTTGTTTGTAGCTTTAAATAGCACCTGGAACATGACATGCATACTGTAGTCCACATTGCTGCAAAACGCCTTACTACGGATGTAAATATAACACAGATACATGTACATGTACAGGCATAATACAGATAGTGCTCAGTGATTGTGTCTCACCCAAATAGTGTACAGCATTATACCCAGGAATTCACCAAGTCAATGTTCAAAATAATAGTTCTGTGTAAATTTTACCCCACCCAGGCCAGCCCATTAAAAGCTGGACACCCATGTCAATAGTTGCACACAGTGTATTAATTATGTTATGGTATGAACTACTTTGCATAATTATATATTTGAACAGCCAGGCTGACCTGGTTCCCAATCTGAAAAAACACAAACTGGGCTGGCGTGGATGGAAGTTCTAAGAATGCTGCTGTGAGTTATGT